GTAAGACATCTAAATACCGTCTGGTTTTATTCCGAGTGAAATACCGCCACATGCGTGCTTTGAGAGTTCTTTGAAATCGTTCCACGATACTGGCTTTGGTGTCCGTATTGCGTGTGGTAAAGAAATGAATGGATTTAAACGCCTGTAAGAATTCTCGATTGGTAAATTCTTTGCCTTGATCCGATTGAATGCGGACGGGACGTCGACCGTCTTGTCGGAAAATCTCTTGTAATCCTCGAATCATTTCTTTTCCCGTTTTCTGTTTTAAAGGCACCACCCAAGCATATTTAGATAAGACGTCAATGGCACACAATAAAAAAGTATAGCCGTCATTATGTTTCTTTAAACTGGACACATCGGCTAAATCTAATTGCCATTGTTCGTCCATATCCGTCACTCTCGTCTGTTGTCTCCGGAATTTTCGATGAATGGGTTTATGTAAGGTATAAGTATCTTGCTCTTTTAACCATTCTCGTATGGTGTTTAAGGAAATCTTATGTCCCAAACTTTTGACCTGACGATACAAAGTCTGTATGCCTCCATACCCTCTCTTGGGATCGTAATAAATCTCTGTTAAAATGTCTCCCACTTCCTTCTTTTTCTTCTTCATGTCTTAGGCAAAGGAAGCCAATTTTCCTCGATTTGTTGTAATCTCTTTTGAAATGGATCTGTTCTGGCTTTGTTTTTCTTCTGGAGGGCCCCCTCTAACCTTAAAATAGGGGAAGGCTTGGATTTTATAGATCGTCTAATAGAGAACACCAAACACGTAACGAACGAATATCTGTTTTATGAAATCCTTGTCTCTTGTGTTTACCTGTGTAACTGACGAAACGTACGGACGAATCGCACGTATAGAAATATAAAAATTATTTGTCAATTTGATAAGTATAATCGCTTAGGTGTTCCATGTACCAGTATGATATAAATATATGCATAATCTAAGGAGTGTATTTATTGATTTCCTTTAATTGACTTATAATAAATGAAAATTGTTCCATATTATATTAAAGCATTGGCAGATCAGATGGGAGGGGGTACGGGGGTTTGACCCCCCCTTTATTTTTGGAGAGAGAGAGAGAGAATAGCTTTTCTGTAATATAGATATTGATACGTATAATCATTTGAAAAATAAAAAAAATCGCTGTCCTTACTGCTCGCTAGATCTGTAGATTTTCGCGTACATGTATTTGCTTTCCGTCGTGTACCCGGCTTTTGGGGCTCCCCCTTCTTATAAATGAAGCTGCGAACTTGAAGTGGCCATGGTGTGGTTATATGCATGAGTGCTGTCCCCCCCCCTTCAAAATTTGATGAATAACCCATGTTAAAGGATGACCTTTGTTTATTACGATAATGTCTTGTATATGGCATGCCAAATTCACAAAAATGAGCTTAACATAGTTTCACAGTCGAAAAACTGGGTTTATCAGTTGTAAACTATAGTTTACGGACTGTAAGGTATAGTTAACAAGTTGAACGTGTAATCTATAATTTACTTTTGTAAACCATAGTTAAAACCGAAAACAATCATTTGCGGTTGCAAAACATAGGTTGTCTGATAAATACAGTTTCACGATTTGTAAACTATATGGTTTACAACTCTTAACTATTGTTAAAGTTTTATTAGATACTTAGATTAGCATTCGTAAACTATAGTTAACAACTGTTAAATATAGTTTTACAGAAAAAAACTATACTTAACGAATTGTTAACTATAGTCTACGGTTTGTAAACTATAGTTGACAGTTATGTTGATAAATCTAGTTTGTGAATCTATGTTTAGCTCATTTTGGTTGTAACAATTATCAATATGACGCTTTGCAAGAGCTGAGCACAATTAAACAATAGATGCAAGTTCCCATCTAGGGTGTCGGGATCACATTACAATAACCCGATATTGGTCATTCATATCTAGCTAAGTGTAGAAATATGTACTAGCAGCTAAACTGTCTAAATATTTATTCAGCGGCGGATCTTCCAGGACAAAGCCCTACTGGAGGAGGGGGCGCACGCCCGGCGCGACGGTGCTGGATCCGCTTTTGAAATAATAACAAAATAAATATATTAAAGCGAGTGATGGTATTCATAAACTAGCAATACGGTTAATATCGTCGAGATACGTTCGTTCGTTGCGTGTTTGGTGTTCTCTAGTAGGGGTCAAAAAAGAGGAAGCATCATGAAATCCGCTCTCTTCTTCTTCGTCCTCTTCACTCAAAGCCCCTTTAGGAGTACTGATTTTTCTTCTGCATGGCTTTTATAAGGTCTCGATTTTGCAAGTAAACCATGGGAGTACGGGTCTCTTTTAAAGCTTGAGCAAATTGTTCTATTCCTTTAGGCACCAGTTGACTTTTGAGAGGTTTAGATCTCATACTATCAGCAATTAAATCCACAATGTTAGAATCGGGCACTTTTTGACCTCGATAACTGATTTCTCCGTCTTTATCCCAAGTCAAGACTTTGGTTTTCTTTAAATGATTTAATAATACTTCAGCTTTTCTTTGCATGGGTTTATTCACGCTTTGAATGATTTGTTGATCGATCTCGGGATCTGGAGCTGCTGCTGCGGGAGCTGGGGCTGCTACTGCTGGAGCTACGAGAGCAGGGGATTTTTTCCCTGGTTCTCTGGCTTGTTGTAAATAATTCCTATACCGATGAAGTTCTTGACCGTATAAAGCCACTTTTTCTTCTGGAGTTAAATCTTCACGTCTGGTAATCTGGTCCAATTCTTGACCTATACTCAGCGTAGATTGAAATTCCGGAGGTTTGGGGAGTTTTCCTTTGAGTTCATTCAACAGAACTTCAGGTACTAACACCATTTTACGACTCATTTTAGAAGGTTCAACAGTAAAGGAGCGGCTGCTGCGAATAAAAAAGGAAAAATACCTCCTTTTTGTTGTACTAATAAAGCTCTTCGTCTCTGGATGGATTGAGGTTGAACCAGTCTCCTTAAGATGTGTTTCTTAGGAGCTAGTTTTCGTTTCTGAGCCGAATGGAGAGGTAACACTCCTTTTAATAGGTTGTAGACGATCTCACAAATTTTCAGAATACAGTCTCCAGAACAATGTTTTAAAATTCCCGTTTTTAAGGACGAGGAATAGTGAGGATCCGATAACACTCTTAAAAGAGGAGCATGCGCTTTTAATCGCGTACAACATCCCTTTTTCTTCTTGGCCATCTTTGAAAACAATGAAGAGAAGTCTCTCATGTCACTCCCTTTTATAGTGTCTTAAGGAGGGGCATACCCTCCGTGTTTGTCGCTCTCGTGTTTATCTCTATTTTTCTCCCTGACATAAATTTTTCCACAATATCGGCATTTATATCTCAGACCTTTAGGAAGTTGAGGGGTGGAGGCTGTCAAGGGTTGAAAACGTGTGATTTTAGGGACATGAATGGGAACTTTAATTCCAGGGGAGGGAATGCCCACATTCACTCGAGGAAACACTTCTAAATCGCTAGCTCTTTGACTCCCTATGGGTCCCATAGTACGATCCATTCTCAGTTCTGCTTGTTTCTTGAGTAACTCTCCTATGGTCTTTTGTCTTTGTTCCTTATAATACTGATTGATTTCGTTTTTTAAACTTTCGGGCATGGCTTTACGTTGAGCTAGAGTTTGAGGAGTGGTTTTTTGCCTTTTCCGCTGCTGCTGTTTTCTTGGGAGTTTTTTTCTTCTTAGGAGGGGCTTTTCTCTTCTTCGGTGGGGCTTTTGGCTTCTTCTTTTTCCTACTCTTTTGAGCTGCTCCTCCGACTCGGACCATCCAATCTGGAAACACTCTTTGTTTCTTATTATCGACTCTTACCACTACACTCTTTAAACGACGAACCCGTCGTTTTTTAGGACTATTCCATTTGAATAAATGACGAATGATGACTCCACCTAGAAATCCAGCTCCTCGGCGTTTTAAAATGGCTGTTTTCCTATCTTCGTCACTGGCCGATTGATCGGCAATGATCTTTAAATCTTGACGATGACGATCGATAAACTTTTGAGTCAGTTTATTGATAGGTAAGACCCCTTTCATTAAATTGCGAGCTCCCATGGCAAACCAATTCAATAAGGCTTTACGCCCTAATTCGATTAAATGGGCTCGTTTGGTGGGATCTCGTTCCCGCTGTAAACGTCGTAAGGTTCTCACTAATTTACTCTTGGCTGATGGAGCCATGATGAGAGTGAAATGAATAATGACTCAGAAGAGTGGGAAACACTTTTATTTATACTCTTGAGGCATGTGTATAGTCAACAATTCAAACATTCGACTTCTTAATCGGTATTCGTCTGGGGTCTGGGGACTCAAATCCACGAGAAGATAACCGTGAGGTACCTGGGTGGCTTCTTGATAAGCAGACATCAAATGAGGCAAAGCTAGCTGACGACTCAATACACTGATCTGAGATTTGTCTCTGGGATTTTTGAATAAGACTAAATAATGAGCATTCAAACTAATGGTGCGATGAGAGGCAGCTCGATCAAATAAATTCTGAGTGATGTAAATCACACTGGTATTCCGATGATGGGCTTTACGGGTAAACCAATCCACAATCGATTCGATGGCTTTTCCTCCCATCATGTCGTCAAAAATGAGTAAATGGGGCACACTCAAATTGGCTACTAATTTCTCGTCGTCTTCTGGAATATTTCGTATGAAAGATACCTTCTCTTTTAAAGAAGTGTAAGCGGGTTGCCATTCCCGATAACACCAGACGATCTTTTCGGGCCTGGGGGTGATCCAGTCTAGATTGTTCACTAATGACTTGACGAATTCTGTTTTGCCCGATTTCGAGGGTCCAGCAACTACCATGGTAAATTCGTGTTTCAATTGAAAAGAAGGGAGGGGTGTCTCCTCGGAATACATGTTGATGAATGAAAGAAAAGATGGGTTCAGGGTCTTATTTATACTTATTCTTATACTTATTTATATAAGAATGTCTTTTTTATATAGAGAAGAAGAAACACATAAAAACGATTCAATTTTTTTTTATTTGTAACAAACAAACAAACAAACATATCAATAACCATAAGGTAAAGTGTTATAATTCTCTACAATTTGTCTCTTGTCATATACAATTCTAACTGTTTTCTCTGAAGGTTTGTTCACCACCTCATAATCACGGGTCCTCTGGATTTTGCTGGGATAGGGGACTTTTACTTCCTCTATTTCTCCCTTGAGCATTTTTTCTAAAGTCTCTGGGCACACCAACTGAGAGGTTCGATGGTTGAGAGTGATTCCTTTGCATTTATGAACCTCGGTTCCTTTGTCCGTCCGGAAACCATAATTTTTAGGACCTGCCGACATGAATTTGGTGATGTGATCCCCGTCTAATTCGTCGGTCCATTCTCCTAAACTATGACCCAAGGTAGGATTAAAAGCTCCTTCCTTATGTTGGTAAATGATACTGTCCGTATCGAAATAAAGCCCCCGTTCTTCTAAAGGTTTTAAAGTCTCGTAGAGATGTAAGCGGGCATAGGCGGTGGTAAAACAAGCCAGGATCACGTTTCCAAAGGGACATTCTTCGACGAATTCCTGTTTGTCTTGAAAATTCACTAGAATCTTGTCTTCAATGGAATCTTCTTTATTGACTAAGAGTCGCACACCCTTGATGTCGAGAGTCGAATTTTGTAAGAGTTGATGTAATTCCTCTACTTCGTCCAAGTATCTGACTTTGGGTAATAACAACCGTTGAGCAAATTTTCCCCACAGACAATTTAAAAAGAGTTTAGCAATGGTTCTTCTCACTGGATTCTTCTTGATACTGAGAATGTCCATCATGAATCCTTCTTTGTCGTAACATTTGTCGAATGTAATCTTGTTCTTGTTCTGAGGTCTTACACTCGGGGGGAAATCCGGACGCTTCCTGTTTGATCTTGAGGAAGGTATTGATGTAGTCTTTAAATAAGTCTTGATTGCTTTCTTTGAAATGCCACACTTCGTAAGTTCGCTCTAAGGTATAGCCCATGTCCAAGGCTTTATGTAATTCGCTCGTCACCCAAGTACCCGTGAGACTACGTTCCCGGTCGGTGTGTTGACATGGGTGTTGAGACGTAGAGTCTTGTTGTTGGGCACACGTGCGACATAAGGGAAATAATAACTTACCTCCCGTCCGATAAGGTAATACGGGGTGAAAGAGGCCTCGGGGTGGTAAGACCCGACAGTGAATGAGACCGAAATAACTTCTCACGTCCTGGAAGTCGTCTGTGATGATCTCGGGATGCCCTAGGGGAAAAGGTCTGTGTTTCAACACGTAAGGGTATAAGGAACACACGTCCACGTATCTCATGTCCCCTTCTTCACAATATAATTTAGTGGCATTGGTCCGGCCTCCGTACAGCCCTTCTCGAGGTTTCAAAGGATCGGGAATGTCCAGATCTCGTACAAATTGCTGTAAACTCTCATCTTGTTGCACTTGTTGATCGAAATCGTGCTCCCAGATACTACACACGTTGTACCCCATGTCCTTTAAATCCGCAGTCCTTCTGAGAGTTTTCTCGTGTAATTGTTGGTAAGTAAATTGGGTCCGGTGAGGATGAGTTTCCGTCTGTAAACTGGGATAGCAAGTGGGGCATCCGTGCCAATAACACCCGTAAAATTCGTAGACGGTACGAGTCGCTTCCTGGTATCCGTCGACGGTATAATTTCCGATCGGGACTTCGCCTCCGTTTCTGGCATGTCGTATGTGACATCCATTCTGATGACTCATCCAGGTGAGCCATCGACAGGCTTTGGCCGAATATTGTCGTGCCGGTTCATACCCGAGGTTCGGAATGATGGCAATGCTGTCTTTAGGCATGAAATTTCGACGGTACGCTAAATTAGCAGCACTGGCAAACGTGATGGATTCCTGGAAAGGGTCCACGTTGACCAACTTCTTGAGGGTGCTTCTAAAATGTGCACAGCATTGGTGTAAAATGTCGACGTCCGAGATACAATACCCTACAAACTCTTTCTGGAAATCAAACACTTTTCCCCTCTGTTGGTCGTACCATTCGTAAAAAGCTTGTCGTCCACTGGTAGTCATTTCGTCAGGATTGTAGAAAGCTGCCGGTGGATAAGGTCCCACGTAATTCTGGTTCTGTTCCGTATTAAAAAAGTGAGGGAAATAACCTTTCTTCATTTCGTTGAGTCCGAAAGCGGAGGGCATCTTGGCCAAAGGAAAGGTTAAGAAACTATACGAGTCGATGAATTTGAGTCCACATATTTCCATGGACAAGATCTTACTCCCGTTCATGATCACGTTAGGTTTCAGGGGAGAAGAATGCACTATGTAATTCAAAATGAATTGTCCGTCGTATCCTTTGAAGTTATGGGCGATGACGATGGCCCCGTCGTGTACTAAAGTGGAATTCTTAGTACCTGAAGTGGGTTGAAATAACCAGTCTATGAACTTCTTTAAGGTGTCTGGGCCTTGAAATAGGTGCTGACGGGGTCCCATGTGTTGACAATGAGGACAAGGTTGGTCTATGGGTAAGTCATCGCAATGTTGACAGACGCGATGTGCCACACACAGATTAGGAACGTGAATGCCCGATTCCTGAGTGCATTCGAAATCGAAATAAATGGTAAACTCTAAGGTGCCTTTTCCCTTCTTCTTCTTCTTGGGCTTCAGTTGTACGTAGCACCGATGATCGGCATCGACGATTTTCTTACAGATCTTACACTGTTTCTGATCTCCGCATTTGTGATGAGGAAATAATTTCTTAGGCATCCAGGACTGACACTTCTCGCATAGTCCCATTAAATTGCAGACAGTAGTGGTGGTTTTCTTACCATAGGGTTTTAAATGATTTTCGTAGCAGGTCCTGTTCTTAAACATTCCATGGCATTCCTCGCATTTAATCTTGATCCCTTCATCGGGACATTGAGGGTGTGGTCCTAAACAATAGGTACAGCGATGAGGGCATTTGGACCGATGGTCTGTGAATTTAGTGTACCCCACGTCGCAATGACCACAGTAATATTGGTTCCCCGTTACTCCGGCCATCGATATGATGGCATCGCAATGATGGTTGTCTAACAAAATGTTCAAACAATTTCCATCTCCCCAGCCTTTGAAGATGCGCTCTAAACAGAGTTTAGTGGAAGTAGATTTGAACTGAAATATTTTCAGGCGATACTGAGGAGCTAATACCTGCTGTAATTTCGGCCACTCTGCATTTCCACAAGCTTGAGTGATATCACATCCGGCCTGTTCCATGAGGGCTATGGCTTCTCGTTTCTAGTCTAAGTATTTATCGCCTGACCTCATTCGGAGCCAACGTTTTTCCCATTCCGGGTCTGGATGATCGGGTTTCTGACTGTGTAATCGAGTGACGACGATGGCTCTAGCCAAACAAAATTTATCATGGGGATTGACGATCCGAACGATGGATTGTTTATTGTTCTTGAAAGTTTCTTTATCCAGTTGTAGATGTTTGTTTCTGTTTCCACCACTCCCCTGGGGATTCTCGATGTGTAACAGATTGAATTCCGTGGAGCCGTCGCCGATTTTGAACTCCTTTTTGGATTGTTGCACATTTTGTATTTCTTTTAAAATGACGTCTTCGTTTAATTCTTTACATTGCATAAACTCGTAAGAAATGTCTGAATCCAAAGATTGGTGACTTATGTTCAGGCGGAGGTAATCGTTAGGATCACACTGCATTTTAGATTTGAAGTCTTGTAACATGTTTGTGAATAATCGCCGAAGGAAAGCTGTGTTTTCTTCTTCTTCTGGAAATTCATCGAAATGAACGACATATCTATTTTCATGCGCTTTAAATTTTGGAGAGGTCCTTTTTTCAGCTAGTCTCATGTGATAATACTCAGAAATGGGTTTAGGTGGTAAATCTATTTCTCTCTCGGTACTTTTTCGTTTCAATATTCGTCGAGCCTGTACCTGTTTTTCTCTAGCAGAATCCATGTCTATCAGCTGATGGTTCTGAGAGTAAAATGAACCCAGAGTGAAAGAAAAACCGTATTTATATACAGTGGATGACGTCACAATGCATAGGTAAGTCTATGGTATTTTTGCACACGGCCCCCTTACAGATGATGCAACAAGAATAAAAAAGATGATGCAACAAGTATAATAAGATGATGCAACAGATATAAAAAGATGATGCAACAGGTATCAAAAAGATGATGCAATAAGTATAAAAAAGATGATGCAACAGTAAAGGTATATAAAGCGGAGCTGGACATGAACGATCATTCTGTGTGAGTACTAGGAAGTGAACACAGGTAAAAAAAAATGTAGCACGCAAAAAATGTGATAGAGGAAGCGGAGTATCGTTGGTATTGTGAGACTTTAAATGGTATTGACAAGGAAGGACATTGGATGAAAACGCCACAAGAAGTCATACAGGATTTTATGAATTTTAAATTCCATTCCACAGAATCTAAGCAAAGAAATCTTGGTGAAAGTTTTTGGTTTGAAAGCAGAAATAAGTTTCATGCTGCAGATTGTCCTAAGACAACAAACTTACACTACACTTTTATTCAGGGGATGGATGGTACTACAAAATACAGCTGGTCAATCGAGGGTGTTCGTGGAATTGTGGATAGAAGTTTCTGGTACAGAAATTCAGAAGACTGTCTTCAGGATTTGTTTCGAGGGGACCCCTGGAAAAATAGAAAACTTCTAGCCAGTTATGAATTCTACCTGAATGCTCGTATGCCTTTTAAGACTGTCTTCAATATTAATTGTCAAATTTGGGGTATACCAAGTGATTGATTACAGATCCCTGATAAGGCACAGAAGAAGAAACAGAAAATGTAAATTGTATGTATGTATTTTCATTCTAAATAAAAATTGAAAAAAAAATCAAAATCTGTGTTATTTGTTATTGTTTTGAGGAAATCCAGTTTGAAAGATGATGCAACAGGTATAATAAGATGATGCAACAGGTATAAAAAAGATGATGCAACAGATATAAAAAGATGATGCAACAGGTCGTAGTAGCAGCGTACCAATGTAAACACCGTGTAAACACCCAGTATTTAAGGGGGGACTATATGTAATGAATTAACCCACCTATCCCCACAAATCTACACTCTCCTGACCCAGCTATCCCCCAGGGGGGGACTGTACTGAGTTGATCCGGCTATCCCCCAGGGGATGCACTCAGTTGACCCGGTCATCCAGCCGGCTTCCGGCTAGGACATTTCTGGCTAGCCCACTTCCGCTTCCGCTAGGACCCACTTCCGCTAGACCACTTAAGGTTAAACCACTTCCGCTTCCAACTAGACCACTTCCGCTTCCGGTTAGCCCACTTCCGGTTATGACGTCACTTCCGCACTAGCGGGGAGGCTTATACTACTCCCCTGCACTGCAGCCAAAATGAAACAAAATGCAAGCATATTTATTTCATGTATTTTCAGCATTGAATTTTATTTTCTGTTAGCATTTACTTGTATAGAAATAAAACCCGACCCTGAACTTATAACGATCTTTTTATCAATCAAAACAAATAAATAATTTTTTAGCATATTTAATAATATTCATCAATAATTTGATGACAGGTTAAACAATATATTATTCCACACTGATAACTGCAATGAGATTATAAATTCAGTGATGATTGAGTTTTTAGCATGATAATTGATCTGTAAAGGGACATTTAATGCTGATCGAGCTTTTATGAAAGACAAAGTTCGGCATGGCTTTAAGAATTAATTTGTAGATAATGCTTAAAACATTTGAACTCCGTATGAAAAAAAAAACAACACGTATGTACCGAAGAGTTACATGTATATTAAACTTGGAGATCTTGAAAATAAATAGCTATAAAAATTCATTCGGATGTTTTTTGCTTGTTTTAATTTCTCTATATTGAAGTGTCTTTGTGCAACAAGAATATAAGACAAAACAACATTTTTAAATTTTAATTTATTTAATCATGATTATAAGGTAGACGCTTTACATGTATTTCATGCAAAAAAAAAAGGTATTGATAGAGAGATTCGAAAAAAAAAATTGAAGTCTGTTCAATTTTGCAGTTTTTTTTTTCTTCTTTGATTTTCCTTTTTCTACATTAACCTTATTTCCAAAGTACAACAATATTTTTTTATTTAAAAATTCATAATTATGATGACGATTTAAAGTTTTTTTTTTATTTGGTCATAAAATATCTCTTTTATAATCCGGGAGAAAATTCATGCGAACATGCAGCTGAAATGTGAAAAAGTACGCGATTAAAATAATGAATGTCCCTGTCTGGTACCCCTGTGACATCGATTGTTGACATCAGAGTTATCTCTCCTATTTTTATTTATAGAAAATACAAATAATCTTGAACTATCGTACTTTCACATTCTTGCCAGATTTGTAAAAAACGTGGAAGATGTATGTTTAGTTTCAACATTTGTACAAACAATTTAACAACAGTTTAAGCAGTATGCACCGATGAATCAATGTTTACATGTAATCGACGCGATCGCGATGTATATTTGAGAGTGGTGGAGCGGATCTCAAAGAAGTAGGAAGACAATTTTCCTTTCCAATATTTTTTGCGATATACCCTGTCTAAGATGTATTCTAAAAATGGTATAAATATGTAAATAAAATTTATCTAGAGTATAAAGGTTCATTATGCTATCAGAAAACACCTTGTCTACAGCTTCTAGAACTATAAATTTAATTACGCATGTAGGAAAACTAGGCTATTATATAATTGGTATTATAGAGACGTATTTAATAATGTTTGTTAAGAAACCAGTTCTAAATGTTTTTATTTATATCTATTAAAATCAGTGGATTAGGAGATTCAGATATTGATTAAATTAATTTATAAATGAAAATAAATTCCACATCATGCACATGTTGGAAACAGCGATAAAAACTCTGGATGCGTCAAACGTCAAAACACGTGGCTAAAAAAATCACCGTCAAAAAGTTCACCGTCAGTCTGCAACGTCACATCTTTATGACGTTATTTCTCTGTTTTAGTGAAAATGTCATAAGGACCCTTTTCTCATGGGCGCAATAATATTTGTTTGATCGTTACAAGGTATGTTGAGATTAATATTAATTCTATAATTGCATTTACTATCAATGTACGTGAAACTATTTGCAAGGATTTTATAATTTAAATCAGGAAGGAAAAATGTAAATAGTAATTTCTATTTTTAGCAAACTGCTCAAGGCACTGAATATCGAGTCTG